TTCAATAAAAATAAATTCCATTATAATCTGACTCTGTGCGTGTGGTTGCGGGGGGTAGAGAAATCTGTTGATCTGGATGTGATTTTCTAGGGTATGCATATACCATCAAATTAGAGTTTGAGCAAGTAATAATTTTTCTAGAAAATGGTGAAAGAAAAGTGAAGGTGTATAAAAGAGCTGCTGCTTGCAGGGCAGATGAAAATAGTTACTGACTACTGCAAAAAGTTATAGCCTTCCTCCTACACACAAGCCTTAGATGCAGGCAAAGCCATTGCAGTGTTTGAGAAAGTGAGTCTGAGGCACATGATGAAATCACTAAGACCACAGTATTAAATCTCTGAAGATTTAAGAGAAGAGAGGGAGGACTCTTATGGTAAACTCAGTCAATTTGTCATTTAGACAAATTAAGACAGAGAGTCTCTTCATGAGGATTTAACAAAAGAACTTTTACCTTTCAAGATTTCCTTTTGAATCTTTACATAACAATAAAAATGCTAATCATTGAATATCTAAAATTGTATTTCCCCCTTTGTTCTTAAAAGTATTTTTGTGTGAATACTATAGTCATGTTAAAAGTACTCCAAGTACTGCATTTGTCCTTGATAAAAAAAAAATACCTTTTATAAAGATAAATACAAGACCAAACAAGCTGGAGTTACATCAACAGGTCATTCATCATTTGGTGAATGCATGAATTCATCATCTAAACATAAAAGTTGAACTCTCAGCATTGGACCCTAAAAATTAACAGTCAGAATGGATAAAGAAGAAATTTCCCTCCAGTCCAGTTATCAAATAAAATACATGACTTATAGACTAATAAAAAATATCTTAGAGACATAAATGTAACCAATTGGTAGATAAGATGCCTATTAGTATCAAATATATGCCCTAGCAGCTCTGCACCAAGGGAAAAAGAAAAGTACACGTCTGATCAGATAACCAAAATGCCCCAAGAACCTTATTGTATGACAAAGAAAATAACTAAATTTGGGAACTCAACCAATAAATATCATAATTCAAAGTAAGTGAACTTATCTTCACAGAGAAATCCTCTGTACTAGTTACATTTCTATTGCTGTGATAAAATACTGTGACCAAATGGAATTTGAGAAAGAAAGGGTTTGTTTTAGCATACAGTTCTAGAGGGCTAGAGTCTGTAATGGCAGGAAAGGCTCGCCAACAGTCCCCAGGAACAAGAAGCTGGCTCAGCACATTTCCATCTACCCACTGGAAACAGAAAGAAGATGGGAAGTGGGGCTGTCTATAAAAGCTGGCCCCCAGTGATTTATTTCCTCAAGCAAGACTGAACCTCTGAAAAGGTTCCATGATGCCCCAGACAGCACTACCAACTATGGACCAAATGTCTATGAAGCTGTGAGGAGACATTTAAACCGCTATATCCCCTGAGCAAAGAGACTAAGAATTGAGAGAAGTGCAGCATAACCAATAAGACCACCTCAGTGACAAGACTTCTGACCTAAAGCCTTTCTTTTAATGTATTGCATTTACTTATTTATTTATTTGTGTGTATTTGGGGGTGGGCGTATTAACTATATTATTGGCTGACATAGCTAGCTACATGACAAGGTCTCATATAGCTAATCTCTGTGTGACTGAGGATGACTTTGAACTCCTAATCATCTTGCCTCCAGCTCCCAAGCACTGGAATACAGGTATGCACCACCACACCTGGCTTAAAAGAGCTCTTGTACTTGGTGCTTCATAGTTGCCTTCAGATCAAAAATCATCTGTATACCAAAATAGCATATTTTGAGATGACATACTTTTCTATTGTACTACAAAATCTCAGCAGTATCTCAAAAGGAAGCAGCTGCAACAGTGTACATACATGATTTTGAGGACTGGAGTTGGTTATTGGTTGGTTCTCAAGAAGCTGTTAGTGAGGACAGTAACAAGAAGAGACTGGTAAGAATTTGTAAAGCAGGTGACTTGCTGCAACAATCTTTCTCACCTTTTAGCCCACTTGGGGCTACAATTAAATCACTGTGTCCATGATCCTATGTCAGAGTACAGAGATCTAAATGTTTGTATTAAAACTGTCACTTCCCCAGGCGGTGGTGGCGCACACCTTTAATCCCAGCACTTGGGAGGCAGAGGCAGGTGGATCTTTGTGAGTTCCAGGCCAGCCTGATTGGTCTACAGAGCGAGATCCAGGAAAGGCGCAAAGCTACACAGAGAAACCCTGTCTCAAAAAAAAAAAAAAAAAAAAAAAAAAAAACCTGTCACTTCATTGGGCTGGAGAGATGGCTCAGCTCTTAAGAGTTGGCTGTTTTTCCAGAGGACCTGTGTTTAGTTCCCAGCAACCACATGTGGCTCCCAACCATCTCTAGTCAGACCTGATGCCCTCATCCAGCATAAAGGCAAACATGAAGAGGAGCACTCACATATATCAGATAAATGAATAAGTCTTTAAGAAAGAGAGAGAGAGAGAGAGAGAGAGAGAGAGAGAGAGAGAGAGAGAGAAAGAAAGAAAAAGAAAAAACAGAACTATCACTTACAATAGTTTGAGTTACACACTGTGCTTTGGTACAGTTTAACTATTACACAGGCAATAGTACAGCATTTCAAGTTCATATTTCTGCTTCATTACTCAGAAGGAAAGTTTGTTAGCAAGGCACCCACTTGTAAGGCTTTACAAAAACTCAGATAGAATATACTGAATGCCTAAAACTGGAGACTTGGGCTGTTGATATGAAATTGTGGAGACGCTGGTAGCAGACTGATGAAAATGAGATGAAATAAAATGGAGCCAGATATGGTGGCACACATCCCAGCACTCGAGAGACAGCGGCAGGTCCAGCCTGGTCCATATAGCAAGTTCCCGGCTGGACTGCATAATGAGACTGTGTCTCAAAAAACAAAAAAAGAAAGAAAGGAAAGGAAAAAAGGTTTTAATCATTGAGGTCTTTGGTAAGAGAGTAGACTACAAAGGGAAAAATAAACATCCAAAAATTGAGTATCATGCTGGAGAGATGGCTCAAAGGTTAAGAGCACTGGCTGTTCTTCCAGAGATCCTAAGTTCAATTCTCAGCAACCACATGGTGGCTCACAGCCATCTGTAATGAGATCTGGTGCCCTCTTCTGGCATACAGGCATATTGTGTACATAATAAATAAATCTTTTAAAAAAAAACTGAGTATTGAAAAGCTAAGAAGTTAGTAGTAGCACCATTGATGATATCAAAAATAAGAAATGGGAATTTAAGTGGTAGATAGGAAAGAGATGGTAAAATAGATTTTGTTTTACTTTGTATTTTTTTCCTCTTTTGTATTTTAATTGTAATAAGTTTTAAGCACCATTCCTGACATGGCTGGAAATATAATAGAAAATGGGATTAAGTTGTAAAGAGGAAAATTGTGGGTTTATTCTCATATATTTAGATTTCCATTTAATTCTATATGCTTCTTTAAAAATACTTTAAATGAACTGTAAATCTACCCCCTCCTTTAACCAACCATTATTTCATTATGTCAATTTTACAAACTACTGGTTCTCTAGTTATCTCTAAGTAGTCTCTTATTTCTAGAACTGTTTTCAGAAATATATATAACAGGGGCAAAAAAATACCATAACACCAATAATAATAATATAAATGTGCAGTTTTCTTTTTAAAACAACTTGTCTGACTAACAAGAGTTGAAGAGCTGCCGGTCATGTCCTCTATAGAATTATGAGTGCAATACTTTGGCTGGTTGTGATCAGATAATTCTCTATATCAGCACTGCTCTGAAAATGTAACGTACATGTAATCTTCAGTGTGTGTGTAGTGGGTTAAGGGCTCCTTTTCTTGAGTATTTTGCAGTCATAAGAGTCTGTGTTCACACTGTAAACAAATATGGTGTGAACTACCCCCTAGGAGTAACAATATGAGAACCAAAGGGAATGTAGACACTCTTACATTAGGAGAGAAAGTCACATTTATTGAATCATTAATAACATAATATAATGCATTAATATTATTAACACTATATAGTAATATAATATAGTATTGGTAATATATTGATATTAATGATATATAATCAATAACATAATAAATCACATTTATCTGCATAAACTGTTACTTAAATTCTGACAAGTACATTACAGGGTGGCTGTAATGAAGTCATTTATAAATGAGAAAATTAAGGTAAAGAATTTGAGTAATTTACATTTAATCTGAATCCAAAGGTGTTTTACTGTACTGAATAAGCTGACTCCTTACTGAAACATCTTAACATAAAGTAAGTTTTCTTCATAGACACCATTGGTAGATATTAACTCAGAGAAGTGGAATTGGGATGGGTATAGCAAAGTGTTCCTTGTTTAAGTTTGTGTCTCAGGCAAAAAAATAACTGTTCCTTTCAAAGAAGTTTTTTTTTTTTAATACTGTTGATTCCACTTCAGAAAACATACCAGAAAGCTTGAAAGAGAATAATCAAATGGTTGTTCTCTTCAGACTTGAGAATATTCAGATATTCTCATTGTCAGATAAATTGGGAGAGGGTTGGAGAGATGGCTCAATGGCTAAGACTCAGGTTTGACTCCCAGCACCCATTCAGCAATTCACAAACACCTGTAAGTCCAGTTCCAGGGAATCCAATGCTTTCTTCGGGCCTCAGTGGGCACCAAGAACATGTATGGTGCATAGACATACATTCAGGCAAAATACCCATACACATAAAAAATATTTTAAGATGAATTGGAAGGTAGTATTGCCAGACCAAAGATAGTTTTATAATAATCAGTTTCCAGGGAAGCCCAGTTTCTCCTTGACATTATTGCCGAATTATAGCCAAAGCTAGTATGAAACTTGCCCACTGTTCAGCTAACATTCTCCTTTACTTAAAATATTTATTCAAAGTTTGAACATATAACTTCTACATGCCAGATGCCATCATAGATGCCCAAATGCTTAGCTTATTCACATCTAATTTCTTCCATTAGAATAGGCAACATTACCTAAGAAAATAATTAGTGGTGATTTTTTGGCTTTGTAGCTGCTAAATCCTGAAGATGACCTCTTACCAGGAAAGATTCGAGACAGCAATCGGTCAACACTTCTAGCAACAATTCAGGAACATGGTTACCCCACAATCAACCTGGGAATTGTGGGAGACAAGTAAGTATATTTTTCTTTGAAGAGTAATTATTCTGAAATATGAATATTTAGATTATTGGAGTAGATGGAGTTGATGCTAAAGATACAGGTTGAACAGCATGATTTTCATTGGTCACATTCTTCCATAGCCTAAGGATTATATGAGGTACATAGGAACTTTAGGAATAAATATTTTCTTAGAATGGGTATTATAAAAGGAAAAATATTTTACTTTGATGTGGTGTGGTAAATTGAGATATGTTTTTTCATGTAATTGGCTTTAACCAAGTAGAAATAAGGGTGATGTTGTCATTGCTTTTCACACTTTTATTTCAAGAAAGACATTGGGAATAGAGGTGAGAAACCTAAGAGAAACTGTCAAAACTGGTCTTACCTGATTGTTTGACATTTAAGCACACTTGTTTTCCATGGGCTTGTGTATTAATTGTGTGTCCTTGTGTGACCCAAATTTCTTCCAGCTTCACCTATTTAGTTGCAAAGGAGGTGGTGCATTAACTAACCCTGCCCATCTTTAAGAACACATTGCCCCTGCCTACCAAATCAATTTAGATCTCAGTAAATTCTCCAAATGTTTCTTTCAGTTTCCAGTGTTTTGTCTTCTAGATAGATAGATAGATAGATAGATAGATAGATAGATAGATAGATAGATAGATATAAATATATATAATGAGGCTGGAGAGATGACTCAGTGGTTAAGAGCACTGGCTGTTCTTTCAGAGGACAGAGTTCAGTTCCCAGCAACCACAGGGTGGCTCACAACTATCTGTAATGAGATCTGGTGCCCTCTTCTGGCATGCAGGCAGAACACTGTATACATAATTAATTAATAAATAAATAAATGAATGAATGAATGAATAATCTTAAAAAAAACTCTCTGTTTTCTGAGCATCCCACTACTAAATAGTAAGCAACACTGCTACTTAGACCTTTTCACAAGGCACAGATTCCTATTCTCTAGAAGTGTCACTGCTTTAATAATACTAGACATTAATCTAGAGAAGATAAAACTAGACCCACCAGAGTGATGGATACCATGTATCTGTCACCTGTATCACTGTCTCCCTTATCACTACCTTGTTACTGGAGAAAGTTCATTATTCATTGATCCTTTCTTTAAGATGAGTGTGTTTGAAGAGGCTCTGTCCTATCATTTTATAAGGTATGTTCTAGTAGGTATACTGTTAACCTATCCTAGACGAAAGGTAGGCACAGTCCAAACCTTAGACATCGACATTATATGGAGAACTTTTTAAAGTTCTTCTTTCCTGAATTGTGTGTGTTGTGTGTGTGTGTGTGTGTGTGTGTGTGTGTGTGTGTGTGTGTGTGTCTTTAAACTTCATTCCTTTTTAAAATCCTCACTGTTTGTGTTCATCTGGCATTAGTGGCACACACCTTTAATCCCAGCACTCGGGAGGCAGAGGCAGGCGGATCTCTGTGAGTTCGAGGCCATCCTGGACTACAGAGTGAGTTCCAAGAAAGGCACAAAGCTACACAGAGAAACCCTGTCTCGAAAAACAAACAAACAAAAACAAACAAACAAAAAAGCACAAAGATAAAGTGAGCAAACCTAAAACTCCAGGAGACAGACTCAGAAGATTCAGTCTTAGTTTCCTCTAAAGAGTGGTGCTGCCCCTGCCATCAAATGCATTAATGGACTCTTGAAGATGTGTAAAGGTTAAAGGAGCATTTTAATTATTATTAAGCATCTTAGGCCTAAATTGTACTCCTCTGGCCCATAATTCTATCTATCCTCACTTTTGTTTTTTTGGTTTGGTTTGGTTTGGTTTGGTTTTGATTTTTTTTGGTTTTTTTGAGACAGGGTTTCTCTCTGTGTTGTTTTGGTGCCTGTCCTGGATCTCGCTCTGTAGCCCAGGCTGGCCTTGAACTCACAGAGATCCGCTGGGTTCTGCCTCCCAAGTGCTGGAATTACAGGTGTGTGCCACCACCGTCCAGCCTATCCTCACTTTTATTGTTGCACTTTTTGGTGTTGTTTTGGTTTGGTGATATTTTTTCATGGGGTATGTATATGCGTGTGTGTGTGTGTGTGTGTGTGTGTGTGTGTGTGTGTGTGTATGTGTATGCCCATACTACCTCAGCTTCCCAAATGTCTGGGCCACAGCAGCCAGCTTTGGGTTTTTTGGCTTGGGTTTTTAATTTTCTTTTTTCTTTTTAAGGTACTTAGGTACTTGGTATATTATATTACTGAAATTATCTTACTATAAAAGCCAAAACACCTTTAAAAGGCTGTTATGTTGGTGTACTAATAGATAGGACTTTTTAAAAAGCAGGTTTGTGAAAAAGGAATGTTAGGAGACTTTCAGGCTCCTGGCTGATGAGATCCTGAAGTGGGAGAGCAATTAGGAAAGATAACATCAAGGCCATATGCAGGCAGCCATGGTAGGGCCCTCAAGGAACACAGACCTGTCATTCCTTCAGAGTCTAAGAACAAAGAGAATTTTCAGGGTGGGACAATAAAGCTCCATATCAAGGTAACCTAGCCTACGTGCCAGAAGTCACAAGGCACTGAAAGTCAAGTTATAACTTGAGTTTGTTTCCAGCTGCAAGGAGGGAAGAGGACAAGGACACTGCAGAATGCCTGCCTTGGAGAGCTGTGGGAGTGGGGGGACAGCGAGAGGGCCTGTGACCTAACACTGATGTTTACTTGTGTAAAGTCCTTACTAAATGTGTCATAGACATCTCTTGGTAATGGAGTATTGATAACTAAATGTGTCATAGACATCTCTTGGTAATGGAGTATTGATTTTAAACTTAACCTCACAGCATACATTGAAAACAGCAAACAGAACAACAGACTATGAAACCTGTACAGGCAATGGAGAGAAATGTGCCACTTTCTAGTATATATCCTTCTGTTTGGTAGCAATATCTTCATAAAACTGAGAACAGGGTTGTTGTTTAAGTGAGTGTTGCTAATATAGACCTTTCCAGTCTTAGAGTGCTGTATTAAGCCCAAAATGAATGGTTTAGAACTCAGAGGTGGAATGTGGGAGGAAAGAATTTACTGCTATTCTAATGGAAATCTGCACTGGGAATTTAGCAAGGGAAACAAGGTGCATTACTGTACAGCTACTGATATTCTGTGTAGGTTGCCTCTTTATTCTTTTTGCTATGCATTCCCTTTTCTAATGAAAGCAAATATTGTTATACAGAAGCCTCTAAGAGAATCTCAGCAAGGAAACAAGTTGCCATGGGAGGAACCCTGGGTGAGAAACAGCTCAGGAATGCTTTCAAGCACAGAACCGTGCTAAGCTATGTGGATAAGGGTAGAAAATAATCCTTGTATTCTTGTCATTTAAAAAGGCTTGAGTGTGGTTTTTACATTCTGTATGAATTATACTTTCCAGCTCTTGTTCTTGTTATTTATCTTGATTTTTACAGTCAATATAAACAAGAAGAGTACGTTGTTAGAACTGTTTAAATTGAATTGAGCTAAAGTTTGCCATTTATTTATTTATTTTATATCTGTGTGGGTGTTTAGCCTGCATGTATGTCTGTACAGCATGTATGTCTACTGCTGTGGAGGCCAAAGAGGGCATCAGATCCCTAGGACTGGAATAATAGGCAGTTGTGAGCTGTCATGTGGGTGCTGGGAACCAAACTTGGATCCTCTGCAAGAGCAGCCAGTGTCTTGACTGGGGAGCCATTTCTTCAGCCTATAAAGTTGGCCTTTGTTTTGTGTACCTTTTGTTTAAAAAAAATATGGTGAGTTAGTGAGAATTTTAAGAGGAATACTTCAAATACCTGAGAGTTAACTTTATTTTTTGAATGTTCATTTACGAATAATAAGTTTATATTAAAATACATTTCCCATATTTTTCTCACACTTTATAGAATACAATACATTGGAGTTTTGTTTTGTTTTTTTCTTCTTTAAAAAGTCTAATTTTGAAACCCAGAGATATTAAGGAATTTATCTGACATTATAAAGCTAGTTAGTGCAGAGGCAGAAATGAAATCTAAATTTCTTGAGATTAATTTTACCCAACTCTTTGCTATGATTTTGAAGATGTGATAAAAATATGTCAGACGAGCTGAAGCAACTATAAGCTTACGTAGTCAGAACAAGTTTTATAAAGAATTTGAAGGATTAGTAGGATCTAGATAGGAAAAGATGATATGTTAATCCAAATAGGAAATAAAGTTTGCAATAATAGGCCAGACTGATTAGAACTAAAGATTGGGATAGAAAGAATACACATAAATTTGGTAAATATTTGAGGTTGGGTTTTAAAAGGCTTTTCAATCAAGGTAGAGTTGCCCAAATCAGTTTTGTTTTGTTTTGTTTTGTTTTACCAGCAGAAGTTATAGAGTAAGTCATTATTTTAGAAAAATAAAATGACTGCAGTGTATCAGATGGTCTAATGACTGAGGGAGACTGTTTAGTCAGTCCCAGGAAACAGGTGTTGTATATGGATATAAGCTACCTGGTCTTAATGAATCAGCTGGAGTGGGCTAAGACTTCATCTTTCTAACTGTATAAAGTGAGGACATGACTGCCCCAAGGTATGGCTAAGGAGGAGGTTTTTATTGTAGCTATGAGGGAGAGTACAGCCAGAGGCTTCTGGAAGAGTCCAGAGCAGGAAGAGAAAGTAGTAGACTAAACATGGCCAGCAGACAGGTCTTAGTCATAGAGGAGGGAGTAGCGGGAGAGGAAGAGGAAGAGAGAGAGCATAGCTGAAATAGCAAAGTTACAAGAACGAGAAGCTGGAGGGCAGGGCTTCTGAGCTAGAACAGTTTAGGGTAAGGGAGAAAAGCTCGGACACTGAGGGAGCCTGGAGGCTAGCATATGCTTTGGTATGCCAGTAGGCACCGCAGATAGCCATTTATCCCTCCTGACAGTGAGAAGGAAATGGCTCCTTTGGTAGAGGGGAATGGGCACCAGTGTTTGGGGGTGTGGAGCTTCCATTGGACCTAACACTAACAAACTTATGGTTGGCCCAAAGCTACTGGTCCATGGGTCACAGAAAGTAGCAATAATG